CATATAAAAAGCCGACACTGGACTTCACAAACACGTTAAAAAAATTGAAAAAATTTTTTGTCATGGTACGGGTGTAAGAACCCGACCATTGTTTGATCTGAGGAGGTAGACAGAATAGTCTATTGTCTATGTTCTCTACCTTGCATCTACGTCGTATATATGTACTTCTACAGATTCAACCTTAATATAACAAAACTAAAGGAAATGAGAAAATACTCGTTATACCAAGTAATTTGTTACAATCAGGTTGGTTATATAGAAGTTAAGATAGTCTACAATTCGTTTTAACAAAGTAGAACTAATGTTTATTAGTCTCAACTTGACGTAGCTACTAATCTGCTTATCCTGTTGTTGACCAATGATATTCACTAATAAACACGGTATTTATTATTTCTAAATAATTTATACAGTTTAGACAATTAAAATGAATCGCAGTGAAATCCGCAAATAGTAGGTAGGTAGTTCAATTTCAACGGCTAAAATGTAATTGATGGATTCGACCGTTACTTGATGGAAATTCATTTTATGTAACAATAAAACACTGAAAACTTTGTTTTCAAACTTCCACAAAATTTATTTTAACTCTTATCACTACAGCTGTTTCGGCTGATTGCCTTTCTCAAGTGATCTATTTTTGGCATGCGTTTACAATTTATAGTCTCTAATGAAATAGATTGAGGAGGGGAGAACTGTTTGTCTTAAGTTGGTCATTCAGAATTATATCTGTGTTTTTTAATTTGTTGATTTCCATAGATTCTAACAAATATAGCTTAAGGACTTTATTTTGAATGTGAAGAATTTTAAATTTGTCATTAAAAGAATGATTATGATCTAGAAGGTGAAGTGCGTATGTCGAATCTGTTTTTCTATTATTGAAAGCCCTTTTATGTTCTGCTATTCGTTTATTAAAGATTCTACCAGTTTGACCAATGTAAGTTTTTGGGCAGTCGCCACATTGAAGTTTGTACACACCACTATTTAAGTGTTTTTTATTTTGCCTCTTGTTTAGCCTACAGAAACTTTTATTCTAGCAAAAAACCTTTTAGACCAAAATAGTATATACCTATATATATATATATATATATATATATATATATATATATATATATATATATATATATATATATATACATCAGTTTAGAACATCTTTCGACGTTGTCCGATACCTAAACACCATCTCTTCCTATCTTCGCAGTCGTTTGTTGTTAAATTTCTTTCGCTCATGGACTTGTTTACGCCGTGTTGCCATTCTAATATGGGTCTTCCTCTTTTCCGTCGACCTATCGTTTGCCATTCTACTACTTTTTTGGGGAGTCTTATTGCTGGCATCCGTTGAACATGCCCATACCACCTTAATCGTTTCTTCTCTATATCTTGAGTTATATTTCCTTCTATTCCCATACGTTGTTTTATTACATCATTTCTGATTCGGTCTCGTCTGGAAATACCTAAAGATCTTCTCATTGCATCCATCTCTACTGCTTCTATTCGCTTTTTGTTCTTTTCACTAATTCTCCATGTTTCAGCGCCTTAAAGAAGAGTAGTTTTAATCATGGTCTCATATATATTAAATTTTCTTAATTTCGTTATCTCTTTACTCCACAGTATACCATTGAGACATCCTAAGACTTCTTTGCTTGAGTGATTCGTTTTTCTATTCCCCGTGTATCAGTTCCTGAATTGTCAAAGGCAACACCCAAGTAGTCATAGCTCTGACAGCAGGAAATAGGTTGTCCGTTTTCGAGGTCTATGTTATCTGACTCGTTTCCAATACAAAGATATTTGGTTTTTGTTGTATTGACATTCATTCCCCAGTCGTTATATTCTTCTATCAGATAGAAGAATATAAAGACCAAAATAGTACAAATCGAATAATTACATCTGAAATTTTACATCTTCTTGAAGATTGCATAAACCAGGACTACTTTGAATTTAATGATCAAATATATATAAATAACAGTGCAGGACATAATGGGCAATCCTCTAAGCCCATTACTATCAGATATTTTTATGGACCATCTAGAGACAAAGATTTCAAAACATCCCGTATTCAAACAATTTCTATATTGGAGGAGATACGTAGACGACGTACTGGTATGTTTCAGAGGAACTAACAGGCAATTCGACCAATTTTTATCGTATATTAATTCACTTCATAGTCATATTGAAGTTTGTACACACCACTATATAAGTGTTTTATATTTTAGCTGTTGTTATTTTTAATATATTTGCCTAGGTTGTTATTTGTTCGGAAAGCTGGTGTTATTCCTTTCTTTTTTATGTGTTTGGCTATTTTTGTTGTTAGTTTGCCTGTATATGTAATCGAGCAGAAGGTACTGGGTTTTTTTCTCTGGTGGTGGAAATACTAATTTCAGGGCTTTCTTGTGTAGTTTTTGATTTAACATTTTATTAATTGTTTGTTCGTTGTATCCGTTATTTACCGCTATTTGCTTAATTATATTTAATTCTGTGTCAAAGTTGTATTTTGACATCGGAAATTCTGTTAATCTATGTAACATACTATGATAAGCTGCCAGTTTATGTTGTGTTGGATGGGGATGTGTGGGATGAATTGTGTATAGTCGTGTCAGTATGGGTAGGTTTATGAAATATGGAGAAGTCATGTTTGTTTTTAAGTCTGATAATCTTTAAATCTAAAAAATTTATGGATTGATTTTGTTCTGTTTCTATTGTAAATTCAATATGACTATGAAGTGAATTAATATACGATAAAAATTGGTCGAGTTGCCTGTTAGTTCCTCTGAAACATACCAGTACATCGTCTACGTATCTCCACCAATATAGAAATTGTTTGAATACGGGATGTTTTGAAATCTTTGTCTCTAGATGATCCATAAAAATATCTGATAGTAATGGGCTTAAAAGATTGCCCACTATAAGTCCTGCACTGTTATTTATATATATTTGATCATTAAATTCAAAGCAGTCCTGGTTTAAGCAAACTTCAAGAAGATGTAAAATTTCAGATGTAATTATTGGATTTGTACTATTTTGGTCTAAAAGGTTTTTTACTAGAATAAAAGTTTCTGTAGGCCAAACAAGAGCCAAAATAAAAAACACTTAAATAGTGGTGTGTACAAACTTCAATGTGGCGACTGCCCAAAAACTTACCGAGGTCAAACTGGTAGAAACTTTAATAAACGAATAGTAGAACATGAAAGGGCTTTCAATAATAGAAAAACAGATTCGACATACGCACTTCACCTTCTAGATCATAATCATTCTTTTAATGACAAATTTAAAATTCTTCACATTCAAAATAAAGGCCTTAAGCTATCTTTGTTAGAATCTATGGAAATCAACAAATTAAAAAACACAGATATAATTCTGAATGACCAACTTGAGACAAACAGTTCTCCCCTCCTCAATCTATTTCATTAGAGACTATAAATTGTAAACGCGTGCCAAAAATAGATCACTTGAGAAAGGCAATCAGCCGAAACAGCTGTAGTGATAAGAGTTAAAATAAATTTTGTGGAAGTTTGAAAACAAAGTTTTCAGTGTTTTATTGTTACATGGCTAAAATGTATTTACATAAAGGAAAGAAATCACAATCTTTAATATTTGCATACACATAAAAAATCACTAATATGGTTATGGCAGTTTAGTCTGCATTTTGCTTGTTTTGATAACAGAAAAGGTCATAAATTGTGATGGGCTTACCACCAGTGCTAATTGTTATGTCCATAGAGCAATTAAATTCCATAAAGGATACTACTACACTGTCATGTCACTCAAACCTCCCTTTCTGAAAAATTTAGATTTTATTACATCTAGAGTGTTACGAACATTATTGTTGTATAATCACTTGTTTAATTTGACTCCCATCATTCTCGCGTTCTTTTTCTTCTTCGATAGGAACTGGCAATATAAATGTTACAATTTCAGCATCAGTGAGTTCTCCACAAACTGCTAAATCATCATCAAATATAACAAACTCTTAGAGCTCAGTTTCTTGAAAATTGGATTCTTCTTGAATTCTTTGACGGGTGTTAGCAAGTAAAGAGGTAAGTTATCCTCCTCATCATCACATAGAACTTTAAACACACTCTTGTTGAACCAGTATTTGATCGCTTTTTCACTGACTTGATTCCAAGATTTAGCAATCATTCACATGGATTATAACATGTCATTTGTAATTGGCTTTTGGTGTGAAATATCGGCAAACCCTCTAACAACTTCTCTCCTGTACTGCATTTTGAAGCTCTGAATTATGCCTTGGTCGGATGGTTGAAGTTTGGAAGTGGTAGTTGCAGGCAAGTGCTTTATTTTTGTTTGTTAGATTATTAAAATTAAAATTATAGAAATTTAGTGAATAATAAATTAATAGGATACATTACATAAAGATAATAAGTTGACAAAATTTTATAAATGAAATAAATAATACTTTTTATTTATATTTTGTAGAGGTCAAAAATTGATTACAAAAAGGATTTTGACGTATATATTCGTAATGTTAAGGTATATTTTGCATTGGCTTTTAAAACAATTTTAGCGGATTTCGAAAAATTTGTTAAATTGAGGAAACCGTTATATTAAGGGTCGTTATAGCATGGTTACACTGTATAAGCTCCTATTACTCTAGAGATGTTATAAGCTGGAGCTAAGAATGGATTGTACAAGACATTGATTTTTATTTTTTATTGCAAATGATAGTTTATCATAAAATTGTTAATGAACGAAAAATAGGAAAGTGAATACATATTTTATTCCTACTATTTATTATTTTTAATGGAAATTATCCATAATTTCAGTTGAAAATTCGTTTATTTTGATGTTGTGATTTAAATCATTTTTCAAGTATCTGTCTGTCTTAAAGATAATAAATAATATTAAAATGCCACAAGAAAATAACTTACAAACAATAGTTTCACTCTATTTTTGAAGTTTTTTGGGGGTGGGAGTCGCTTTGGTAACAAAATTTAATATTCAATAAGATGCCTAAACGGAAATGTGTTGAAATGCTGATGAAAACTTACCAACAAATGAGTCGGCACTTCGAGACAAATCAGTTGGGTCAGTAGATATCAAATAATTACTTGTAGTACTCTTTTTCCTTTTTCTAGCAGCCAAAAGAAACACTTTCTTGCCATAGTCTTTCTCTAGGTGAAGGTAATAAGTTGGATATAACCCCCTATCCATTCCTTTTCTATCTCTCGTTATCCTACATTTGTATAGTACCTTGAGTTGGGCAGGCTGTAAGATGAACTTTTCTACATTACCTTCTATATCACCTTCTACTTCTGAAGCCTAATAAAAAATGATTAAAAATTAATCAGGGTTAAAAATTGATAGTTATACTATGTAGAATTAGAAAACATCTTAATACATAATAAAACTTACCCCATTAACGTGATGTATAAAGTTTGGTTTGTCTGGAATTGGATTAATCGGCATGTTGCCATTGTCATTTGGTGTAGAGGCTACAGGTGAAGATTCTTCATCTTCCACATCCATTAAGTCACTTGATGCATTGGTTAGATCTTCTACCAATGTTCCTAAAGAAAAAGTAAAAAAATTACACAGAAAATCGTTGAGAATTGTTCACTTTAAATTATGAGCCAAAATACAAAACATTGAATATACATTGACTAAGGCCTAAGAATCTAAATTAATGATAATTTATTTTATAATGTTACTCTGATTGTAAATTTTATTAAGAATACGTGAAATTTTAGTTATGTTCCTATGTTTCTATATATTTAAATAATAAGAGGCAAAATAGAAAACATTAACTATAGTCAGAATCCAGAATTCTAGGCAGTAAATTCTTGGAAGTAATAGTGACGTTTCAGCGCTATTGTAGGAATTCCAGTGGCGTACGAAAAATTTCATAAGAAGTTACTTGTATTGAAGAAATACCTATTTATAATATGTATCACGTTAATGCACAAATATGATTATTATTGACATTTAATTAATTACAATAAATGATTTTAGGTTAGTAGGTAAGTGTTAAACCTCCCTAAAACCGCGTTTGACACACACAAACATATTGTAAATATTTTACATTTTATAAAAGTTTTTTCGACAGCTAAGACAGGAAGTCGTAAAATTTTAATACATATTTTGGTGTGAGATAAAATTCTGAAATCGGTCTAATTATTTCATTAGATTTTTTATTTTATTTATCGTATGGCAATTATAACACATTTATAACAAAATTACAAACACTAGTAATATAGGTATATGACAAACTTTAAATAGTTACAAACATCAGGTGTATTAATATAATCAATTGACTCTGAAGTAGCAAACAGGAGGTCTTCAGGTCTACCATTGTAGGATCTTGAGGGACACTCTTCAATAATGTGGTCGATGGTTTAGTTCTCCCCACAGTCACATTGAGGGGACGGGTTCTTTCCACATTTATGTAGCATGTATGCACATCTGCCATCTCTGGTTCGGATCCTATTCAGAATGGACCATGTTTTGAAGATCAAAACCTTGTGGCTTGTGAGTAATGCAGGGCATGTTATTTTGCCTTGAGTTCCATTCTTGGGACCAAGCATTCGTGATGTTGAACTCCTCATGTATCATTCTTGCCGTTTTCATTGGAGGTTTTCTAGAACGGAGACGGGTATTTCATGCATCCTCGATATCTTGGTGGATCCGCAGGTTTATATTGTTCATGATATTTTTGTATTCACGTGTAAGTGCGTCAACTCGTCGTAAATGTGGAGGTGGGATGTGACTTAATACTGGAAGCCATTGGGTGGGAGTTGATTTAATTGTACCAACTATCATCCTCATACTGCTGTGCAGCTTAGTGTCGACCTTTTTTTACGTGTGGACTGTGTAGCTAAACTGAAGCACAATATTCAGCGGTCGAGAAAACAAGGGCTAAGGCAGCAGAGCGGAGAGTGAAAGCCGATGCTCCCTAGGTGGTACCGCAGAGCTTCTGTATAATGTTATTTTTTGTACTTAACTTTTGGGTAGTTTTTGTTAAATGCTCTTTAAATGATAGCGTTCTGTCTAGTGTTACGACCAGGTACTTCGGTGTTTTGTTGTTGGTAAGTGTGGTATTTTCAAGCCGTATGTTGAGTTCCTTTCCAGCAAGTTTATTGTTCAGGTGAAAGCAACTAACTCCTGTTTTGTATGCATTTGGTTGAAGTCGAATAATAATATTTTCCCAATATATATAAGTCTGCCGTCAGAACTTCTTCAGACGTTTCTAGTGTTCTGCGTTGTGTAGTGAGGACCCATCATCGGCGTATCCGAACTTTCTTGATTGTGTTTCCGCCATATCTGTTAGGTATAAGCTAAATAGTAGTGGATGGAGCACTGACCCCTGTGGTAGGCTGTTCTTAACTTTCTTTGGTTTGCTGATATCTGTGCCCATCACTACTTGAAACATTCGGTCGTTGAGCATGCTATCTATTATGCGTGCTATTGGTGCTACAGGGGATTGCACGGAGAATTTTGTATATAAGGCCCTCTCTCCATATATATACAATAGCACTAAAGGCCTTAGAGGCCCATGGCTTAAAGAATTTTGTTCTTTCTTCATTTAACTCTGCTTGCTCATATGTGTCTATCCTTAGACCGTTCATAACTATGTTATTTATTCGTCGGTGTTTTTCCATAACTTCCATGTTTTTTGTTATTTCTCTGAGTTCCTCCTTGATCTCTATATTTTCTTGTTTTAGTTCCAAATTTTCTTTTCTCAGCTCTCTGTTTTCCATTATGAGCTTTTCTATCGTTTCCTTGCATTCTTTTTGATTTCTTTTTATTTCCTTAATATCATCGGTAAGGTGGCTCATCATTATTAGTAATTGATCAATTTTTGTTGCCTCATTTTTTTTTCTCTGGAGTTTTTGTTGGTGTTCTCGAGAACTTCTTGCTCTTTCTGAAAATGTTATCTTCTTCCTCGCTGTCTTTATATCTGTCCTTCCTTTTTGCCCCTCCTTCTGAAAGTGTATCATCACTGTCTAAATTTTTTATATATTTTTCAATTTTCCGGCGCCAAACACTGTCTTACACCTCAACAGTTCAGAGAAGACAGCGTTTACCGTATTTATTTTATGTTTATTAACCGTTGTTATTTTTCTGTGTCTACCCCGAAAGTCTACTCACAACGGCAACGTCGCAATTTCAAAGGTCAGAGTTTCGTTTCTATGCCTTGATGTTAATTAGGCTTATCAATTACAGCAATCTTATTTTTTATAGGGCCTTGGTGTTTTCGGATGTTATTTCACCGATTTTAAAGTTTTTTCTTAGCACTCTCCTTCACTTAATGTCTTATATTATTCACTGAATGTCTTATATTATTCACTAGATATTTTCAATAATTTATTTCCCGTTACAACTCTCAGAAATTGAGTTTATTGTAGACGACAAATAAAATATTTGTTTACGTTTTGGTTACCGTGTTGCCAATCCCTTCCCTTCCCTCCCTCTCTCCATACTGTATCGTAAACTGCCGAGAAATCAATAAATGCCGCTGAAGTTTTAAGTCTTCTTTGGAAACCCGCTTCGATGTAGGTAGTGAGTGACATTACCTGGTCTGCGCAGCTTTGTTCTGGCCGAAAAACCGTTTGTTCGACTGGGATCACCTGGAATAGTTCTGTACTGATTCTATTATATATAAGCCTCTCTAATAGTTTGTAGATGACAGAGAGAAGAGCAATTGGTCTGTGGTTTTTTAGGCTGTCGGCGAGTTTGCCTGGCTTTAGTATGACTATTATCTTAGAGCGCTTTAGTTCTTGTGGAATATTTTCAGTGTCCATGATGTCTGTAAAAAATCGAGCGTCATACCACAGTCGAGCTAACACCAGTGACTGTCTGGCAAAAAGGTAAAATCATCAACTTGCTCTCTCAAAAAAATATACCATTCGATGACAACATGTTGAAAGTATAATTACTAAACCTAGCGAAGATACATATAACCCAATTCAATTAATATGCAGTCGACGAAATGACTCGTGAAAACAACATTGTTCCTAAAGAAAAAGTACAAAAATTACACAGAAAATCGTTGAGAATTGTTCACTTAATATTATGAGCCAAAATACAAAACATTGACTATGATACCTAAGGCATAAGAATGTAAATTAATAATAATTTATTTTATAATGTTACTCTGATTGTAAATTTGATTGCAAATTTTATTAAGAATACGTGAAATTTTAGTTATGTTCCTATGTTTCTATATAGTATTTAGATAATAAGAGGCAGAAAAATTTAAACAAAAATTACTTGAGTAATTGAAAATAATGGCAGGAGATAGAAAATAATAGGAGAGGTGGGTGAATGGAAATGAAAATAGCTAGAATAAAGAAATCCGACACCCTGATAGGGTAAAGAAAGGGGAGAAAGAAATAAAGAAATAATAAAGCCATATATATTAAGCTATAACACACATAAAAAGTTTAAAAAAGCAATAAGAAACCAAGCACTAAGATCCTAATATTTGTTTATTTTTAAATTAGGGCTCAAAATTTTCTATTTTATTTAAGATTCTTAATATTTGCGTATCTTTAAATTAGGGCCCAAAATAGAAAACATTAACTAGGTTACAGTGATGAGTGCGTTAAGACCTGGCAAAATAACACAAAAGATGGAAAACATAATACGTTGTGAAATAAAAAGAGATGAAACTAGTAAAGGTGGGAAATTATCGATAGAAAACTATAATTTACATTACATTACATTACCACTATCGATAGTTTCTCACCTTTAGACGTTAGCTTAGGAGCTGGTTGATTTCAGTCATAATAATTATAGGTTAGGTTATGTTAATAATTATAGGTATGACGTCAAAGATTAACGAACATCTACTAACTCCTCTTTACGGACATGGATCAATATTTTAAAAAATTAGGTACAATAGACTGAATTGTCGATCGTGCTGGTGTCGGCTTATTTGGAAACATATTTACAAATTCTTGTCTAATCATGTTGTCTGATAATCCTTTCAGATGCCAGACAACAATGTGCACTTTTTCCTTTATTGTTAAAACCATTTTCACAAATTGTTTTTTCAACAAAAAGTTTCTGTTTACCGTTCAAAAAAATACTTTTTGATGTGTTTAATTGTTTGATGTGTTGCTGCCGCAACTGGCAACTGGTACAATTGATATTAATACTGAGAATTTAACACATTTAGCGCCACACTGTAATTGGTTGTTCACTCCCTGGGACCAAATATTTAAAATGTTTTTTTTAGAAACCTGCTTTTTAAATGTTTATATTGTATTTTAAACAACACTTTTTTTTCAGCTTTGTTTTTTGTAATCTTTTTTAGTGCGCACCGGTGGTCACGCGGTCCAAGGTTGTAATTTCACATTGTGGGACCAAATGTCCACCAGTGGTCACGCATTTCATTATTTCTTTTGTTGCAGATTTTTAACAATAATGGCAAGAAGAGGACTTACAGAAGAAGAACTGCTTTGGGAGTTAGAAAATTTGTCTGATGTTGAAGCAGCAGACTATTCCGAGGATGACTCCATTGCAGAACGAGATTACTCATATGATGAATGATGAGTGCAGCTAGCATTTGATGTCGAGAATGAAGTTGCTGAAGTGCCTTGTTCCTTTTACCGACAATATACTCCAGACCAACTGGGAGCCAGTGGCAGGGGACAGATTGAAATTTAATTTTCTTTATGCCTACACCGGTGTACCCGAACATATAATCCAGAAACTTCATGGAGCCTCTCCTATAAGTTACTTTGAACACTTCATAGACGATGAAATTATCTCATTGTTTGTGGAAGAAACCAATAGATTTGCTGCACAAAGAAATACTGCAAAAGAAGCTGCCCCAGCAGGAAGAGGAACTTCAAGACTTAGTAAATGGGTTGAGACTGAACGTACAGAGATGCGCAAACTTTTGGGCATTGTCTTGTGGATGGGACTTATGCATTTGCCAAAATTGAGGGATTACTGGAGCAAAAAAAAGTTATGAAAATGGAATTCCAAAAATAATGAGCCACGATAGATTTGAGATGTTACTTTCGATGTTTTATCTATCAAACAATGAGCAACCAATCGATCCGAAAGAAAGACTCCACGAAATCTCTAAATTTTTAAACATATTAGAAAAGAAGTTCAAAGAATCATATATTCCAGAAGAAGAAGTTTGTATAGACGAAAGCAACATACCATTTCGAGGATGTATTTATTTCCGACAGTATATTCCCAATATAAGAAATAAGTATGGGATAAAGGTTTTCAAACTCTGTATTACTGGAGGCTATACATGGTCGTTTAAAGTCTACACAAGCAAAGAAAGAGATGACGATATATCAGTTGCTGAAACAATTATCACAACACTGATGAAGGGACTTTTGGATGCAGGTAGAACTGTATATACCTATAATTGGTACACTAGTGTTTCGCTGTCTAATAGTCTAATTCAATGACAAACACATTTAGTAGGAACCCTAAGGACAAACAGGAAATATAATCCCATAGATGTGGTAAAAGCTAAATTGAGAAAGGGTGAAGTCATCGCCCAACAAAACGAAAATAAAACAGTTGTTTGCAAATGGAAAGATAAAAGAGATGTTGTTATGGTCAGTAGGCTACCCTATGGGTACAGTTAATGACAGAGGACAAGAAGTTCATAAACCAGCGATGGTTGTAGATTGCAACAAAAATTACAAAAGTTTTTGTCGACACTTGTGTCCAGATGGCATCTTATGCGCCATATGTGAGAAGAACTGTCAAGTGGTATAAGCGACTCATTTTTTCATTTTGTTACTTCGAGAGCTATGGTAAATGCTCTGCATCTGCATAACAAAATTAATAACAAGAAATTGGGATTGGGAATATCATCAAGGCTTTGGTTTATCAAGATTTAAATTAAATTCCAATACAATCAAGGCTCTCAAGTTCCAAGATAAAACACTTCTTGAAAGAATACTAGGGGTAAAAGAGTGTTACCAGAAAAAGGTGCAGTCCATGCTACAAGACTATGTCTCAGCGACAAAATCCAAATTATGCTTGTAAAAATGCGAAAAAAATTAATACATATTGTGATACCTGTAACCTGCCAATGTGCCTCAAATGTTTTCAAAAGCATATCTAGCAACTATCTCATTTCCAGAAATTTAATTTTTATTATTTTTGTTGTATTACAAATACGCTAAGATTACTTGTTTTTTAATATTTATCTAGGTTTGTTCGTTTATTTTTATTTTTATTAGTGCAGAATTCGATTTATTTTTGTAATAAACGATGTAAAAAGACACAATTATAATAGTTTTTTGTACTGCCAAAAATAACAATCGATACATTCATTTTGCCCGTCCATGTAAAATTTGTTGGTTCCTGGGATCACTGAATACATCACATACGTGACTTAAAGTAAGTAACATCAAATATCCACGGGTGGGCACACAGTCTTAAAGGAAACATTGAAAATGCCCACTGGTGGACACATGGCGCTAAATGTGTTAATGATGATTTTGACATTACACATTACAGTCTTCACCACATTATGTTGCATTCAAAACTGTTGACTATATAATTAGAAATACAATAAATCCGTAAATTTTAGATTTCGAATTGAATTTGAATTATCTTGAGTTTCTTTATAATAACAATAATTGAATGAGAATAAATTGCAAATAATTACTATTATTTTTTAATTTTGTCCAAAAAAGGGGATCTCTGGTAAGAATTAAAACATTGATCTGCTGGTCAATGGACCAACTCTCTAACCATTCTACCACCTCCATATAAAATAATTGTTTTCAGCCAGAACATAACTTTTAGTTTATACTAAATTTCAATAAGCAGTGCAGGACTTGTTCTTTTGACTTTTAGGGGTCAAATCTCTGTTTGGTTTTTTAATGATATGTGATTTATTGAACTTAAGTTTAATTTTTAAGAACTTGACTTGTTCACTTTTCACAGTTTACCCATGATATGTATTGTATCCCAGGTTGCTACAAACTTGGCACTCATTTCAGATAAGATAAATCTCACTAGTAAGAAAAATTTAAAGTTCATGATTATTAAAAACTAGTAGAAACATTGACAAAGTCGATAATTCCACAATCTCAATGATCAAAACTAGCAAACTTACTTACCATCCATACTATCCACACTGGGCAAAATGGATATAACTTGATCGGGGTTATTATCATTACTCATTGCAAACTGAAGAGGGCCATCATAACCTACAATTACACCATTAAAAAGAGCTACTTTGATTTAAAAAAATTGGTTTTACCATGAAGATCTCTCCTATTTGAATTAACACTGTTTCTACTGTTTGCAGAATTATTCCGAATATCTGATACCTGTATCATGCCCGACGTAAGTCTTTTTTGTTTCATTTTCTGCTCCATGAGCTGTCTCTACAAATTTACAATTATATTACTGTGTAACACTTAAAATAAAATAAAAATATATGCTTCTTCTTACCTGTTGTTCCAATTTTTGATTGCGGACGTCCATTTCCAACATTCTGAGTATTAGTTTTATCAATCATTCACGTTGTACTGCTCCAATTCCATTTGTTGTTGATTGTTGTTACTCTTGGAGATAAAAGTTATCGATTTGTAGAAATTTTTAGGTAAAAAAATAATTTCAATCCTATTTGTTTATGATTGTTGACAATGTTGACATGACGTTTCTAGAAAACGACAGATGAGAGAAGGATGAAAATCGTTTCAATTGTTTGGCGCCAAACTCCAAGTGAGACCCAAAAACATAATTATGTGAACGTTAAAAAAAGAAAGTAGATTAAGAAAATTAATATTCTTTTCCATTGTTTATTGTTGATTAAGTTGATTTATGTTTTATTGTTATACATGAATTATGCAGAATTTAAAATATACGTGTCTAGACTAGAAACTGATCTTTACTATAATAATTATAATCGGGTTTTTGGCTTACTCTACCTTTTATACAGTAATATATGAAATAGACATTCATTTTATGACTTTGTTTTTATCTTTATTTTTTTTTATTTATTGCTTCTCCCTAAATTTAATTTTATTATTTAAAGTTCCTTATTGTGTCAACATTGTTCTTTATTCCAATTTGGTTTCTATTTTCGTTTGTTCTTGTTAATACATTTATAAATAATGTTTGTGTGCTTGTTTATTTGTAGAATATATTTGTATTTCTACTCCAAACTCCTTGCAACCTTGTTTATAAAACATTGAGATAAAATTAAGAATATTTAAAGCTAGGATAAGATCAATAATTACGAAGTAAGGATGCATGAGAAACAAGACCCGAAAGAGCCACAGAAACGGAAGAGATGAGAATATTGACGATAATTACACGAATATACTCTGAGAGACCGAAAGAAAAGTGAAGGACGAGTAGATACCAAACAGAAAAAGAGAATGGCATAATCGCACACATTGTTGTGCCTATCCGTTACGAATATTGGCGACCACATGGCAATCTGTATTTTGCATATTACTGCACCTATGCATGTGGTGAGCTTTGAAAAAGAATAATGAGAATATGCAATCGATTGTAGTGTAGGTCGTTTGTAGATCTTTGGGATATGCCCAGTATTTTGTAGACCAGTAAATTAATTCACAATTAATTAATGATTTTTTGGAATTACGTTAGCCGACACAAAAATGAAAATTGCTTATTTTTAGATAAAATGTAGTAGATAAGAAATATGGTTTGTAAGTTATTTTAAAACTAACAAATCATTGTTAGGGTGGTATAGATATTTAGTTGTTTTTAGGATTAAATAATTAAGCAAAAACAATTAAATTATTATTCTACGTATGCGTAATCTGCTAGCCGAATAGGTACCAGACTAATTATTTTTGAAGACAAATTCATTTATCATTTATGAAATGCATACCTAATCCGTCGAAGATTATTTCAAGAGCAAATAGATGTTGGTAATATAAACACATTACCTATTAAAAGACTAATGTAATAGCTTTGGTAATAGATCGAAAATTGTTTAGGTATAGCTTATTATAAAACCAACTCGTTCTTTATGAGGTTAATAATTTAACAAATTACTTATTTTTAAATAAGAACTAATGTGATAGATGGGAAATGGTTTGTAGGTCGACTAAATAATTGTTTATAGTGTCAAATAATTATGAAAAAACAAATAAATTATTCTGAGTGTGCGCCATCTGCTAGCTGAATACCAGACTAATTAATATTGAAGAGCAAACTAATTTATTAAATGCATGATTGTTTGAAGATTATTGCAAGAGAAAATAGATGTTTGTAAAATAAACAAATTAGGAACTCCTGCAATGAGAAGCTTAAATTAAACCTGTAGGAACCCCATATTTACTATTTATAAATTCAAATTGCAATTTGGCTATTACAATAACGGCTACTGTATTATTAAGTTATTTTGTGGTGTTTGGTGATTTTTTGAAAAATTTCGTATACGGGAAGGAACGAAGATCCCATTTGATCATATTTTGATAAACATAATATAGATAACAACAAAAGATCAATGACTGTTAAATGTAAAGTTATTTTAAGTATTTTGACTGGACTCATGCTGCATTATGAAGAAACATTCCTCAAAAATATGTTACATCTGAAAATTCTCAGCTACCAATATCAATCTATGACTCCAACTTAGATGAGGATTTAACAGTAAATAAGATATGTATCTCAAATCCAAAAACATCAAAGACAAAAATTAGAATTACTGAATAAGTGACCCAAAACCGTTTACTTCTAACAACATCATTTCAAGCTTTCTTATTCGAACCATCAATCAGAAAAGAGTTGGTTTGCAACCCGATATTTATATGCAACAAAAACATCATCATTTCGTGCAATTGAACATCCTGAATTTAAAAAGATGATAAACGTAGGCACTACATCCTGAATATAAGCCACCAAATAGGAATTCTGTTTCAACCGACTCGCTTGATAAGGTTTACTAATTCAGTAGAAACAATAGTTAAAGAAAATTTATGCAACAATGATTGTTTAGATGCTTGACAGCTGGATCAACGTTCATAATTGTTGTTGTTGTTTGTTTGTGTTTAAATGACTGCGGACACTAAATCCATTCGCCAATCTTACTATTTGAGGTGTAGTGTGTGTGTGTGTGTGTAGAGTAATTGTCTTGATACTTAGCAAAGTCGACGTCATTGTCTTTGCTAAGAGACGCTAATTGTATCCGAACGTCTGCGGTCCCTCCGGTGTGTACCGATCACACAAAGATAGAAATTATTTTCATTTATTATTATTATTTTTTTTTTTTTAATAAACGAAAACTTCCACCCAGGTAACGTTCATAATTATATGAACCTAAAATAGGCGACTGCGTCATTATAATACAGAAAGTGAATAGATGCATCTGATTAAGTCCATTGATACGAGTGGGAACAGTTTCACTAGTATTTATTAGAGCTACTTAAAAAATTCAATTCAGAAATGTGAAGAATATAATGGTAAGGTTATTAGCATAGTCAAAGGGTAATATAAAAAATACAAACATTTCAGAAATGTACATTTTGCTGGCGCAAAATTTCGAGAAGCTGGTGATTCTGCTCTTGTATTGTCCCAGGGTGTTCGTTGGTTTAACAGACTGCTTAGGAAGTTTTTTGAAAAACTGGCCAGTATTGTTTGGCACTTGCTCAAACAACAGAATAAGTATTGATAAATATATAATAAAGCTTGTAAATGATACAAATTTAAAAGCCCAAGACTATTAAAAAAATTGAAGTATATTGCAGTTGCTTTGGACAAAGTCCAAAGAAATACTTGCACTATAGGAGAGGATACAGCCAACAATGGTATGAATATTCAACAAAACGCAAACAATACAACAACTAGACCTACAATGTGTACAACGACATCAGTGCCTCTAATTCATTATCCAAAACAATCGCAAGGCAGCTATGCTGAGACAGCAAGAAATGATACCGATCAACAACCAAATATTAATGACATAATGAACAAATTCCTAGAGGAATTCAAAAATATGTTCTAAGCACCACTCCCAAACTTGCTGACAACGCTTATATAAAAAATTCAATAGCTTTATTAAAATAGCAGAGTGGAATGCCAATGGACTTCCACAGCACAAAAATGAGGTCGAGTTATTTCTACTACACAACGAAATTGACATTCTATTAACCAGTGAAAGCCATTTTACTAAAACTTTTTTCAAAATACCTCACTACACAACCTATTCCTTAAATCGCTCTGAAAATACAGCCCTCGCGTGATCGGCTGTTCTGATAAAAAAAAATACCACCAAACATGCAGAACTACCAAATTATGAACAAAATTGCTTGCAACCTAGAGTTATCAAAGTTGGCATGAGGTCTTTTGAATTAACAGTCGCTTCAGTCTACTGTCCACCTCGATACAACTTAAAGATTTCAAAAACTTTTTTGAAACTCTAGGACATAAATTCATTGTAGGGGGAGACATCAGCAGAAAACATGTATTATTTGGATCTCATCTCACAACAACTAAAGACAGAGAATTAGTAAGCCTAAAACATGAAAACAACTATATATCACCCTTTGTCAACAGATGCTCCTATATATTGGCCAACAGATCCAAACAAAACACCTGATCTGCTGGATTTATTTATCACTCAGGGATTCTCTCCGCTTACATGGAGGTCATGCCTAGCTATGAACTTTTATCCTACCACTCCCCAATTATAGCAACCATTAGTAGCTTCATAGTATACAAAAACGGCCACACCAAGAGAACTAACTGGGACAAATACCGTAGCAAATTAGAAGAAGAAGGTACCAGTCTACGAGTGAGCCTCAAAAAAAAAGAGAGATAGATGAAATACTAACAGTCTTAAATGACACTCTCATGGTGCATACTGCGAATAATACAGGTAGCAAAGCCCAATACATCCCAGCTGAAATAAAAAAAATGGTAGCTCAAAAAAGGAAACCTAGTACAAAATGTAACCGGACCCATGCCCCAGCAGACAAAACTATAAACAGAACTCAGCAGACAAATCTTAACCGGCACGACAACTCAATATGGAAACTGTCCAGAAATGATGAGGAATAAACAGTGCTATTTTCCAAACACCTGGCTCAAGTATTTACTCCCAACAATGAAGCTCCAGACATTGAAAGAGACATAAATAACATCCCAGCGAACATACCAGTAATCAGACCACTAACCAAAAACTAAGTTAGAAACGAAATTTAATATTTTAACATTAGAAAATCTCTTGGGCTGGACAAAATAACACGAAAGATGATAAAGGAATCATACTGTTTACTCTCATCTTCAATGCCATTCTATGGTCAACTTACTGGCCAAAGCTCTTTAAAACCGCTGAAGTAATACTAATTTTAAAAGCAGGAAAAATCCAAATTAGGTTTCGTCATATAGGTCAATAAGTCTACTACCAATAGCATCCAAAATACTTGATACAAAAAATTAACTCAGACCCCAATATAGAGGAATTGATACCCAACCACCAATTTGGCTTTTGAAAAGTACACTCAATGATACAG